AATTGTACATATAGTATACATAACTCTTTTTTGCAACTGTATGAATATCCTAAAGTTGCCCTTTATTTCTAAAGTCAGATAAAAGAGTTAATAATAACTTTTTAAAAGTTCTAATCTCACGTCCCCATAGAGAATCTATGGAAATATAACACATTTTAAAAAATACTGAAATCTGATTACCTTGAACAAGCAGGGATAGTTAATTTATCAGTTTTTTTGGCAGATGGCCATTCTGTTAAACCTAAAACAATGTCACAGTGTAACACATACGCATTCACACAGACACACACACACAGACACCCCCCCACAATTTCATCCATTTCTTGTTCTGTTACAGGTTTTATTGCCTTTTCTACTTATCCCAATCTGGCTGAAAGAATCAAAACCTTTTATGCATTAGCTCCCATTACTACCTTGAAGCACTCCAAAAGCCCGTTAAAAAAATTTTTTCTATTTCCTCCATTCCTCTTCAAGGTATGTGTGTCTTTTTAACTGAATGTAAGATATCAAGTTGTTCATGGATTTCAAAGTGATGGAAAGAAACAAAAACACCTGAACAATCATGTTAGATAGAAATGTAGATATTTACTGTATAATTTCTTCAATAGCATTGACCATGTTGAAATCCCCACTATAGCTGGTGAGATCCTATATATTTCTTGGTTCTTGATTACTGTGTGTGCGTAGCAATGCTCTCATAGATATTTCATTTACCAAGCACCCCACACAGCTCTGTCCACACTGTGATTCCACCCCTGGAGTGGGGAAGGGGAAACAAAACAAAACAAAACAAAAGAGTCCAATGAGAACTGAAATGAACTGAGCCAAGAAGACTAGGAAGAAGAATAGGATAGAAAGGGAAAGGATGGGAAAGGAGAAAGAGAAAAGTAATGGTTGAATGACCAAACTTTGAGAACCATCTTTAAATACGCTTGGCTTTCTAAACCTTTCCCTAAGAGCTCCTTTCTTTTTAAATAGGGATTTCATAACGAAACAGCGTAGATTTTAACAAACCATAAATGCTAAGTAGGCATGCATGACAGAGAATTAATAATCTTTATGTTTCCAAAGCTTAATCACCTACTTCTCCCAGACACCAAAACCAACATGTATACAGTTTCCTTAAAGAAAACAGTTTGGCCTCAAAATGTACAATGTAATGGTACCATTTCCTTGTCTGATTTTGTAGTATTCATTCCTTTTCACTCTTAATTAACATGTGTCTACAGCCTAGGAAACTTCTCTTAGGGTCAAAGCATTTATTCAAAATGTGTGCTTTTGTGATGACCCTGGCTATATTGATGCAGAACTAATTTATATCCTACTGGTACTCAGATTTTTCTCATAGGTGAAGTAGAAAGTGGTAAAACACACACATACACACACAAAACAAGCAAAAAACAAACAAAAAACAAAAAACTACATTACACCTCACATCAGGTAAGCCTCACATCAGGGGCGAGGGCCTTGGGTCAGGATTCTAGTTACAATCAGTTCTAATTATCCCAAGACCCTGACTATTTATTAGCATTATGTTTTCTCATGTACAGAATGAGGATGACAAAAGGTCTATTTTCCTCCAGAAGAGTTACGTCCAGTTTTTTCAATTATTAAACTACCTATCCTCTTTGTCTTTCTGAAGACTTGGCTGAAAATATGACTCGGAATCACCATTTCCCTTTCTGAATTTTCCATGATTTATTGTTGACATCACACATCTTAACACTTAAGTGCGACATTCTGCCATGATGTGTTATGACTTTATTTTGTAGCTCTAATACCTCAACTAGACTGTAATTCCTGTGTCTTATTCTTCTTCTCAATGTCTTATACTTCTCTTCTGCCACGGCATAGTTCTCAATGCAGCAATAAATGACCAATATTAAAATATGCCCTGCCCATTCCCAAACTTTATTATGGGAATTATCGAAAATGTTTGAGATTCTTTTTTTCTTATTTTTTATCCTCACCGGAGGACATTTTTGCATTTATCTTTAGATAGAGTGGGAGGGAGAGAGGGAGGACGAGAGAGAGACAAATATCAATATGAGAGAGACACATAGACTGCTAATATTAGATTCTTAAAACAGCATTAAAAAATGAAAATATCATCAACATAGTCACAACTGTACCAATAAATTAGACCAATCAATGAGTCTTTTCTGCAGCTTTAGTTTTCCAACCCCCTACTGCTTTTATTTTTCAGATTATATTTGGTAACAAAGCATTTTATCCACACAACTATTTTGATAATATTTTGGCCAATGAAGTGTGTACCCGAGAGAAACTAGAGGCCCTCTGCAGCAATGCTATATTTCTCCATTTTGGATTCGACCAGAAGAACTTGAACATGGTTTGTATGCATTGAATTTTCTATTTTGAGTATTTGGGGCCACATTTTTTATTACTTGTCCCATCATCACTTAGAAAGCGTACTTCATAGGAACTAGGAGTAGCTTCAGAATTGTGTACATGACATGCAGGTAAGCCCAAGAGAAATCGCAAGTCAATGCTCCCAGTTACATCTCCTGCAGCTCCCTTCACCACCGCGTTGTCCTATGACATAGAAAAAGGAATTACAACTCACTATATATAATGTTCCATTAAGAAAAAAAATGGAGATGATAGGCTCTCCTTTGTTTTTTCTTTGTTAATCTTCACCTGAGGGTATTTTTTTTCCCACTTATTTTTTAAAAATTTTTTTAGAAACAGTAGAAGGGAGTGGGGGAGGGGAGAGAGAGACATCAATGTGAAAGAGACACATCAATTGGTTGCATCCTGCACATGCCCTGACCTGGGCCTGGGATCGAACCTGAAACCCAGGTACAAACCCTTGAGTGGGAATCAATCCCCGGACCCATCGGTTCATGGGCTAATGCTCTAACCACTGAGCAACACCAGCAAGGGCAAGCTCTTCTCTTGGAGTGCCTACAAATTAAACCAGTTAGCCTGTGCAGTGGTCCTTTGCAAGCTCTAAAGTGATGTACAACTGTGTCACTCATATCCTTCCAGTAAACGTGCCCTTAAACACTCGAACTGAGTCAGAAGAACTTACAACTTAGCTGTTTTGAGAAGCTGAATGAAGATCTAAGTCTGAGTGTACGTGTGTGTGTTTTCTTTCTAGACTCGCATGGATGTATATCTGTCACATAATCCAGAGCAGACTTCTGTTCAAAACATGCTCCACTGGAGCCAGGTACATTTCACAAACGCTGTTAAAATTTATTTTGTGAGCCTGGATCTAAAGCACATTCTTAAAATGTTCTGTCAAATGCCCCTGGTGGGAAATTTTTATGGCATGTGACTACCAGCTGAAAATAACTAACATTTCATGTGAATAAAAATCCTGTGAAACAGGTGCTCTGGGCAGCAAAGAAAGGAATGATTTTCATGAAAGCAAAGCTGCCTTTAAACTCGCATCAGTACCTTGTCTGGGATGATTAATATATTTCATTTTGGGAATGAAAAAAGATGTTTTATAATCATTGTTTAATTAAAAGTTAGACCACTTGGACATGTTTGTGCTTTATTTTTCACATAGCAAGCAGAGTTTATATTTTCCTGTGTTCTTAATTTCTCTACATTAGATTGTTAAGACTGAGAAACTTCAAGCTTTTGATTGGGGAAACCGGAAAGAGAACAGGAAGCACTATCATTGGGTAAGCTTGTTAAAGTTGAAATCTTCCATATTCTGAAAGACAAATATTTAAATGGTTAAAGATGAAATTACAATAACTGTGTATCTATTTTCCAAAGCAACCTTAGTGCCCAAACCTAGCCTTGAGGGAATTGCAGAGTATTATTGCCCTGTGATTCCTTCATTGATAGTCTCATCCTCCCAATGTTCTCTCACGCTCCAGTGCTCAGTCAAGCTGCTCTCGAAAACCACATCGCTCCAGGTGACAATACTTTCAGAATTTTTTTTTTTAATCCTCACCCGAGAATATTTTTCCATATATCTTCAGATAGAGTGGGAGGGAGAGAGAGGGAGAGAGAGAGAAACATCGATGTGAGAGGGACACATTGACTGGATGCCTCCCGCATGACCCCGACCAACGCTGGGACTAACCACAACCAAAGTACATGCTCTTGACTGAAATCTAACCCTTGACTCTTTGTCTCCCGGGCCGACACTCTACTACGGAGCCAAATTGGCCAGGTTGTTTTTTTAGAATTTAATCACCCCTCACCACAGTAGACAGACCTGCCCTGTTTCCCAGACCCCTGGCACACTGTTCTCTCCTTTCCTAAGTGCAATTACTTAGTATAATAAACCAGTACTTCTAACTGTTCAGGAGCTAGAGCTGGACTCTCTGGTCTTCTTGAACACGATGCTCTCCTTTGTTGTCAGGCAGGGAGGTGATTCCAGCACACTTCCAGACATGAAGGAACGCTGGTGCACCTGCCGGTCAAAGCTGGACATCCTTCCCAGCAGCAGGCACCGTGTGGTGCAGGCAGCCACACTGTGCACCTTGTAGTACAAAGAGCCCAAGCTTGGAGTCTGTCCTACTTGAGGTCAATGAGAGTTCAGACAATAATTTCTTCATCTCTCCCCCTAGATTTGAGGAGTGATTGATAATACTTAATGGGAGAATGTCTATAAATCCTTCACTCAGGGTAGATTCTCATATTATCACTGGCTAAATATGAACAAGGGAAGTACCTTCATTTCTTGGTGTGTGTAGTTCTTTTGTTTTCCTCCTTACCCTACCCCCAATTTTTCCACCCACGTGGTAGCTGAATACAACTAATTTTCACCTGCTTCCATGACTCAGTATTTAGAAGGGATTTATGTCTTTTAAACACAATATCCTGTGTGAAGAAGATGCCCCCATTTTTTTTACATATTTGTTGTCTTTGAAGAGGTTTTCAGAACAGCATCAGATCAACATTTGTTGAAAGCACTTCCCCCACCCCAATCACCACCCATTCCAACCCCCCAAACAGAGATTGCTTTGAATCTGTCTTTCTACTGGGCTCTAATACCAGTAATCAGAGGACTCCATTGATTACATGGAACTGGAATAACCTAATCCTTACTCCAACCTTCTCCAAGCAAGCTGATAATAGCTCAGGATGATCTTCAACTATAATAATGCATTAAGATACTAAGAAAAATTGCAAATGCTAAAATCCTTTGTGTGGAAAGTTGACTATTACCTGAAGTGAAAATAAAAATATTGTAGTATATAGAAAAATGTAGTCTATTCTATTTTCTCAGAATAGAATATTTTAAAAATTCACAAAATTCTCTGGGAAATATGGCAGTGACTCTCTCTCTCTCTCTCTCTCTCTGTGTCCTGCTTTATGAGCCTTCATAAAGGCCATGTGTGAATGGTGATTTTCTAGAAATAGGAAATGAGACTGATGATAGCTTTTCTCAGAATTTGAACCAATACTAAGTACCGTAGGCCCTCGTTTATCGCAGTTAATCAGTTCCACCCTCTACCAAGATAAATGAATTTCCACGAAGTAGGATTCTTTATTTATAGACAGTTGTCCCTCGCCACTTCACGTTTCGACTTTTGCGGTTTCCCTCTACCACGGTTTTTTCAAATACTATGTTATATTAAAAAAATCCACAATAGAATGAACCCGGAAAGTCAAGTGCCGAGTGGTGAGACAAGACTCTAGACTCAGGCAAGTATTTAATAAATACAACTTTTTAAATGAACTGATAGATCTGCAGACTGACCACACTGGAAAGTCAATACAAAGCCAAAATAAATGACTCAGGACATTTTGAGGAGATCATATTTTAGAGTGTTTAGGCAGAAACCATCTATTACAGTTAGAATCCAATCAAGTTGACTTCTTTCAGTTGGAGTTGAAATCTAAATTTTTAATTTGTTAAAATTGCTATCTGAAGGCTCACTATTCAAAGCATGGTCCAGGACCAGCAGCAGCAGCATCACCTGGGAATGCAGAAGCTAGGCTCTTCCCCAGATGTACCGAATCAGAATTTTCATTTTAACAAGATCCCTAAGTGACTCACAAGCCTGTTAAATTGGAGCAGCACTGACCTAAATCATATTGAATCCAATTTGCTCTGTGGATAAAGGAGACTTTCTCTGAGCAGTCATTGTTTAGAATTGACTTATAAAACCAGGCCATGACATTTGTGGCAACATGGATGAAATTTGAGGACATTACACTAAGTGAAATAAGTAAGAGAAAAATAGAGACTGTATGACCTCACATGCGGAATTGAAAACAGTAAAAACAAACCACAGTAGAACTGAGCTCATAGCTACAGAGAACAGGTTGATAGATGCCAGAGAAGGGGCGGACAGTAGGCAAAATGGGCGAAAGTAGTAAAAAGGTTACAAACTTCCAGTTATTAAATAAATAATTCCTGAGAATGTGATGAGCAGCATGGTGACTACAGTTAATGATATTGTAGTGCATATGTGAAAGTTGCCAACAGAGTGAATCTTAAAAATTCCCATTGTAAGAAAAAACAATTACAACTTTTTAAAGAGATGGATATTAACTAGATTTACATATAGCAAAATGTTATGTTGTATGCCTAAAACTAATATAATGTTTTATATCGATTATAGCTGAATGAAATATATCTAGGCCAGTTTTTGTTGTATAAGCTACCCAGGGAGTAAATATTGGGATTTAAACTGCAGATACTTATGAAAACTGTTTTTCTTTGTCTTTTGTGTATTAGCCCACACCTCCCAGGTACTACTGGAACCAGATGAATGTGCCAATTGCAGTGTGGTACGGCGGCCACGACTGGGTGGCTGACCCTCGTGATGTTGAAATTTTGCTTTCCAACCTCCCTAACGTCATTTACAAAAAGGAGATTTCTTCTTACAATTATGTGGATTTTGTCTGGGGACTGGATGCTCCTCAAGAAGTCTACAAAGAAATTATTGCTATGATGTAAAAAGATAAAAATTAGTTCTGGATTTCAAGAATCATTCATTTTTCCAAAATACCTTTTTCTCTCCCAAGTGATTTTCTGTAATGTTTGAGATGCAATGCTTCTTTCTGTAATTTTTCCTTCTGAAATATATTAGCATTCAAAAACTTCCATGGCTCATTTTGATTTAGAATAATTTTTTTCAATTTGATTTTTCTATTAAAAATTTATCTAGGAACATTCAAAGGCACACATTCCCGAGGAGGTGAAACTTCTCTTCCAATCTTCTCACTCAATTTATCTTCTAAAGCCAGCACAGATTATGATCCATGAATCATGAGTGCCTCCATAAAACAGTCCTGGGATTGAATATTGACCCCTCTTATGAATGCTTGAGACTGAGTAAATTGCCTTCTGTGGTCTATTACTGCTGAAGCTCAGTCTTCCTGTCTGTACAGTCGGAATAGCACCTGCTC